AGCATGTCTTGGCAACAGACATTGTATGAGAGACATCTAATGTGCATGGTTTTTTTTTCATGCGGCCATGTGCCAATAATCAGTAGAAACATTTGGAGGCAATTAGCTTTTAGAGTTTTAGCTTCGCAGATCATGGAGAGGAAGAACACATTTCCGATTGATATAATGTAGAGGTTACACTTCTAAAAAAAAATGTTGGGTACCAACACAACTGTATTTTAAAATTTCTTCCTCTGACTTATGGCAAAAGAGGAAATGAAATGAAATGCAAAGAAAAAAATGCAGTAGTTGTTTGTCTGTAAGGGAGGGTTAACTCCATGACTAGTATAAAATCGCCACTATGTTAAGCAAGTCTGTAAAGGTCTGGAAGTGATTTTAATCTTCACTTGGAACAAACCTCAGCAAAGACCAGCAAAACCAGCCAGAGTTGTGGTTGTCACATTTCTTGCCCTGTGTGAATCCTTCTTGTACTGATTTGTCTCTCAAGGAACACAACTCTGTGGTCACCATAGAATCATTGTAAGGGAAACTTTGCTAAAGATGGGTAAATTATCTTCAGGGCAATTTGTCTACTACTGCTACCAATTTTTTTTTCAAGAAAGGCCATAAGCAAAGGGACGTGTGATTACTTTGTGTAACTGCTTTAATGGGCATCACACACCCCTGTTAACTTCCAAACAAACAAGAGTGAATTATTCAACAAGAAAATATCGCCACTACTCTCATCTGCTTCCCCCAACTTCAAGGCACACCACACATTTTCATTTTACAGTATAGTCACACAAGTAACTCATTCACAGTCCAACCGTATTTGTGTCCAGTTGGAGGAACATCCTATTTATTCCCAGAGCTTGGAAGAGTTATTTTTTTAAATAGAGTGTCCAGACTCTCTCAGCCAGTCTAGCCAGTGGCTGTACTGGCTGCAGGATTCTCAAATTGTTTCAGTGGAAATTGTCCTCTGAGCAAATGTCCATATGACTGCAGGTTAGAGGAGTGACAGTATCCAGCTTCCCCAGCAGTCACTAAAGATGCTCCTGCATAATGTGCCATGTTCTGTACCCAGAATGTTCCACTCAGGAAAAGAAGGCAAGTGAAGATGCTGCCTTCACTTCCAAATGAGAAATCTGCATTATTCTTCATCAAGGTAAACAAATTCTTTCAGATATTGTTATCTTTCTACATTATTTTCCATAAATGGGCTTTGGTCAGCCTTATGTGTGTGGACATCAATTTGTGCAGCAGAAACTTCCCTTCTTGCCCTTTGACACACACCCCATGCCCACCTCCAACATGTTTGTTCAGGGAACTCCAACCTAAATTTACAGGAGACATGGTGAACCCATTCTGGTAACAGATGCTCTTCCATTGCCAAGTTGACACCAGTGGATGCAACTTTATTCTTTCATTGAAATGTTAACCTCTTCTCTAGCCCAGTGGTCCTCAACCTTGGGCCTCCAGATGTTCTTGGACTTCAACTCCCAGAAATCCTGGCCAGCAGAGGTGGTGGTGAAGGCTTCTGGGAGTTGTAGTCCAAGAACATCTGGAGGCCCAAGGTTGAGGACCACTGCTCTAGCCTATGATGCTTTCCTGCTTCTTCAATCTGCTAATTCAATAAATTCTGGAGGACCAGAGGAGCCTAGAAAGCCAGAACAGTGTAGGAGATAGATGGACTAGGAAACAGGAGACCTAGGTTTAAATCCCAGCATGGCCTTGCAAACTCACTGAGAGGTAGTGCTGATAGAACCATTGCATACATATCTCCTACACCTTGAAAACACTATTAGGATCACTATAAATTGAGTCCAAGTTGGTGGCAAGAAACATTTAAAAAGAGGAATCTATTTATGAAGATTGATAATTATTGTTACTTCTTTTCGGAACTGCCCAAAAGGCATATAATACAATTGAAAAATGGTCCCATGAAGATTACTATCTTTTGGCATTCAATGAACATAAGCAATAAAAGAAAAATTATCATCCCTGCAGAAAAGCAGGCAGTTGTTTCCAGGGGGGAGGGTAGCGGTTCCATAAAACAGTGAAACCTCCTAAACACAAATGGTATCTCTTAGACATTAAACATGTTTTTGGCTTGGAGTGCGGAGGTTCGTGTGGAGGTAGGAGCTAGCAATGTCAGAAGCCAGAGCTTGTAAGTAATTTGAACTAATAGGTAAAATTAAGAGATAAATGAAAATGCTTGTAAAGTGGGTTTGGGGTGAAAAAAGGTAGGGCAAATACCACAATACCTATATTCTAGTGGACTGGATTGTAAGCAGCAATAAGTGCTCCAAGGAGGTCTGGAAAGACTTATCTTTCCTTGTAGAACAGACAAGTCAACAAGACACAAAGCATACAGAAATTATTTTATGAAGTCAATGTTAAGAGGAACAAAAGAAATGAGAGCATGGAAAAACTGGTGGTTTTTTTGTGTGTGGGGGGGGAGGGTTGGGCCTACCTGGACAAGATCATATGGGATTCTTTTTTATCCATATAAAAAGCTGAGTAAAACAAGACTAACAAGGCTGTCAATACATTATCTACTCAGAAGTAACTCCCACTGAGTTCAAAAGAGTAAACTGCTGCAAGTCTAGACTAAAACAGAACACCTGGGTTGTTTCATGTGATCACTGGGTGGTTTTTTTTTAATGTGCTGTGATGTATACAAGATAGTTGACCGCTTTCATCCCATTAGGGATGAGAAAGGCGGGGGGGGGGCTACCACTGAAGAAGAGTTCTCCCTCACCTCCAGTATTCTCATAGCTCCATGCTTCTTAATATCCCATGCATGGTGCACTGCTCCCTTGAAAGTAGCAGGGAACAAGAGATGCGGTTGCAACAAGAAAGATGATTACAAAAGGGAGGCACTTGCCTCCATTCTTCAAAACTGTGGAGTAGTAGCAAGACTGGTGACACCTGGCCTGAAGGGTCTTTGGGTTGCCAAACTGCAGGATTATTGCTGGACTAAAAGTGTAGGAGTTCAGAGGTAAACAGTGAATGATTTCTACAGCCCAATACATTCTGACAAGGGTCCTCAAACAGCAAGAGGTAAGGTTGTAGACATAGAAAACCCACTGTACTTTCTACAAGGTCTGTTTTCAGAGCAGTACCCACAATACTTATCAAGGTCTTTATCAAAACCCAATGGAGCAAATATATTAATCTTCTGGGCATCCCCAACTGTTTTTCCTCCAACTGTGTTCTCCTTACATTTCCCTGACTTAATCTCTCCCCAATATATTAATTCTTACCACAAGCAACGTCTCACTACAGAGGTGTCAACAGGCACAAGCATAAAGCAGAAATCTCAGTCCTGCCTGGAGCAAGGCCATTTATTCTGTCCCAGGTTCATGCTGGTACTTTGTCATCTGACCAGAAGCTGCTCTATTTGGATGGTTATGGTGAATTTTACAGTCCACAAAATGCAACACCAGAGTGGATATATTGGTTATTCTGTTTGCATTGTGGCCTCTCATATTTTTACATGTGAGAGTCTCAAATAACTGAAGTTGGTTTCAAGCACAATAACTTCTTTGTTTTGGCCCAAACTGGTCTCCAGTGTAATAAAGATGAAATAAATACTACTTAAAATGAAGTACTTCTAGGCGTTGTTTAATTTTGTTTTATTCTCTCAGGAATATTGTGTTCTCTCACTCATCAGATAGAGAAATAACAGTCTTCTAATACACTAATTGGTTGTCATCCATACAGTCTTTACAGCTCTTTTTCTGATTTTGCGTGGAGAGAGGGAAAGTATGCTATAGCAAATGTTCTTTCTCAAGTGATGTAATCCAAAGCAACAGAAGTGCTATGCTCAGAATACATTGGTGTAAATTCCTTCGTGTAAATATATATATATATTCCTTTACTTACATACTAGGCTAGTGAGATAGTGTCACACATAAAAGGGGGCAGAAAGAGACTGAAAACAGTGACAAAAGCAAAACAAAACAATGAGCTACCTTAGCAAAATCCCCTTGGTAAAAAGCAAGAGGATATGAAGAGATGTGGACTGAGTAAGAAGCAGGAAGATGTGAAGTTGCCAAGAGTTTAGGAGCTCCCAGTATTTGCCTTGAACTGAAATCCAGCCTCTAAAGAATTCTTGATCTCTGTCCTAACCTATCCATAAAACTACCTACAAACCCCTTCCTGACACTTACCAGGCAAACAACTCTGGTTTGAACAGAAGGAGTGATACACTGGATGAAAGGAGATAATGGATTTTTCCTTCCATCTATCTTTTTGTATGACTGTGGGATGCCGGATAGGTAACATCAGAGCTTCACAATAACAGCTTCACAAGACAACCACCGTACATTTTGTGTTGTCATCCAATTAAATAATGGCCAAAATCCTGTTGCTCAGTGTAGTAAATTGCACAAGAGTAGACCCATTGAATCAGTGGGGATTTAGTGAGTCAACTTCTTCATAGGTTCAGTTGATTCAAATATGCCTACTCTACTTGCTATGCTAAAGTAAATTGCAGTTACTGTAGATCCATTTGAATCAATGGAACTTATGAAGGAGTTGGCTCAACAAAACCACATTGATTCAAAGGATCTACTCTAGTGTGATTTACGATACTGCACAACAGGATTTGGGGCAATAAGTTACAGGGAGATAAAGGCAGAAAGTAAAGAAATGGCATAGTGAACATTCCATATTTTACCATAAAGAGAACGTACAGGATAAGGGCTAAACACTCCTCATATATGCAAGAAATCTTTTCCATCCTGCCTCCACTTCCTCTACTTCTCCCTTTAGGAGCAAAAGCAACAACAACAACAACAACAACAACACCTCAGAGACATCCATTTTGAACTAAGACAATCCTTACATCATGTGGCTGGTAGGGAAAGCACAATATAACAAAGGACTGATCAGGTACATTTCAAAGAACAATGTTCCATCTGAGAGAGCCCTTAAACTGCTCTGTCAGCAAGATTCAGTATTTTAATTAAACATTATTAACTGCTCCAAAGTAAATGCCATTACCATTGTCTTACCAGAATTTTTATTGGTCTTATTCTGTCTGCTCTTTACTTGTTCAGTCCATAATGTAGGATAACGAGAAGCTATATCTAGAAAATCAAGAACAAAAATCAAATCATTCCAGTGAAAGCCATAGTTGATGACAGACTATATCAATGACATTTAAATGTAAGTCACTTAATAAACATAGCAAAACTGATTTTTTTTAATTAAGGAGCTTTGTTTCGTTATTAACACTTTGAAAATGAGGAATAACAATATTGAGTGCATGTAACAAAGAAAAAATGTCTACATTTCACACTTATGTCAAATTATGGTCCTGAAATCCACTCCTAAATTTCCTGGCACAAATTTAGGAATGTGCTGATTATACAGTGTAAATAATTCTGTAAATCTCCTGCAGAATCAGTTACTTCATTTAGCTCAAAATACGCAGAAGGGTCTCATTGTGGATTTCAAAAGTATTAGTGGTTCCCAAATGAGGGTGTACCAGTTATACACAACTGGGTCACTAGGTTACACCCCATATCAGTTGACAATAGTGACATTGATGCCAAAGATACTAATAAAGTTTCCCGACTGTGAATGGCTAAAGCCTAATCTTATTCATGTTTACACCAATGTTGGTCCCAGTGTACTTAACAGGACTTGCTGCTCAGCAGTCATGATTAGGTTTTCAGCTTTAGTCAATGTCAAAATGCTGTTGGATGTATTTATAATATTAAATCAGCAACAATAGGAAATTCCATTGTAATGGAATTATTGTATCTGTCAGATGATCAGCCCAACCTGTCAACTGCACTGATCCATTTACCGTATTTTTCGCTCCATAAGACACACCTTTCCATAAGACGCACCAATTTTTCAGGAGAAGAAAAAAGGAAAATATAATCTGTTTTCTTCGCTCCATAAGACGCACAGACTTCCCCCCCCCCTGTTTTGTGGGGAAAAGTGTGTCTTATGGTGCGAAAAATACGGTACTTACTAAAACATTTATATCCCAACTTTACTTTCAATGATTCTTTTGGTGGCTCCCAATATCAAATTAAATAAATTATATTCTGAAATACAGCCATCAGAAATGGAATTAAAACTTTCAGCTGCTAAAATCACACCCATCATCATCCAGCCCAATGGCTTTCTTGAAAAGAAATGTTTCAAATCAATCACATTACAGTACTTTTAGATCAGCTGATTTTGGAAGTGGGTACAGGGGAAATCTAGCTAAGTGGACTCAGAATCCAAACCAAATCCAATTAACCAGGTACTACAACAAGTGAGAGCTACAGGAAAGGAATATGCCCTGTCACGTAATCAATGGCTACTGTACTTGTCATAATTCCTGTTAGTGCCAGCATCCTGAATAACTTTACATATAGAAACAACACATATGATACTGTGGAGATCCAGATTCAAATGCCTCCTCAGCTGTGAAAACCCAGGTGAGAATGACAATAGTAAACCACTCATTGAACAGCTCACAACAACAACAACATTTGTTCAACAGTCCTCACCTTCTTCATCTCCTTGGGGTGGAGTCTCCAGTGCAGGAGCTGAGGCATCATCTGAATTCAGAATGGAAAAGATTTGCAAGGATACTACAATTATGAGAGTAAGCTAAATAAGTGCACATACATGACTGAGACTGATAATTTGAATAAAACCTCAGATGGTTAATAACAGGTCATAGGATACAATTCCCACCACATGAAATGATATAAATTCATATTTTGATATAAATTCAATTCATATTTTGATGCTTTGGCCAGTGGCGCAATTAGATGATAAATATATTGGCAAATTTTCCCTGACACATGTAAAGAAACCCCAATCCATAGGTTCGGTTTGGGAACAAGATGTTTCTTGCTTAATTGACAAAAGACTGGATATTTGCATCGGAAAGAGGAAACCAGATTAGATATGCATCCTGAGGTCAAGTGGACCATGTAGGCTGTGGGGCCATATACCAGGTAAGCAAAACACAGCTCTTTTGCTTTCAACTCATGTATAGCCACTGCATCCATTGTCAACTGGACACAATGAAGCATAAGACACTGTTTGATTTGCTGTTTAATGTATTCACTATATGTATATAGATATTCAACAACGCACAATCTCTAGGTGGCTTTCAACATTTTAATGGCATTAAAATATAGGATGAAATAACAAACTTATTTAAAACTATGAGATTCTTAAAACACACCTTTTGGGACTGAGAGATCCAAGCTGTCTGAGAAGACTGTTCAGTGGCAGAACACTACTACAAAACAACCCTCTCCCTAGTGGTTATTCATCTCGTGTCATCTGGCAAGGGCATTCGGGGCAGGAAAGCTTAAGATGGGATAAGAGTGCCTCGTTTTTGCCTGTGATCATAATGAACAGTGTTAAGAGTGACCAGACGAAAAGGATGACAGGGTTCCCGTGTCTATAATAGTTGTACAGAACAGGAAACATCTCAGGCAAACTACAACTGCTGAAATTTCCTCCTCTACACAACTATTAAAGGGGCAGGAGTCCTGTCTTCTTTTTCACTTGGTCACCCTTAACAACTTAGACAATTTGTTCTCCCTGTGCGCACAGCAATACAAGCCAAAGAAAGCGGACTGCATTCTGTAGGCTCCTGGACTTACAAAAACCATGATACAAAACAGAGCTTCTCTGTGTTTGTGTGCATTGGCACAGTGACATGCGGTGAATTCTCTGGCTGTTTACATAAACACATTTCCTAGGTGAGTTTTATTTGCTTTTTTCCTACATATTGTATTTCTGCATATTCCTTATACAGTACTTCTTATACTGTCCACCCAACAAGAGAGGTTATAGGAAAAAGAAAAGGAAAGAAACAGCAAGTGCTCCAAAATATGTAAACTGGCATTAACATTCAGGGCACTATATCAGATTTTCAGAATCAAAATGTTTCGGAAAATAATGCTTCCACTATCATTTCCACCTGATATAAGCAAGGCTTTAGAATGCAGACAGCATCTCCTTTCCTTATATTAATTGCTTCAGTACAGATAATGCTATGCAAAGTCCATTCAAGTGCCAGATGTTCCTTTAATATCTGAAAGCGGTGCCTGGGGAAAAATGTGGAACGGTGGCCACTTCTTTATATGGAATGTAGAACAGGTGAGTCACTCCAGGCCCAGGACCTCATAAAGCCCTCACTGTGTCCCATTTTATACAAGAATACTGCACTGTTTGTCTGAGTTGTCAGTGGAGGCTATGGCTAGAGGATATTCAAATATATATGAGAATACTGTTGACCATCTCTGTGAGGCCAGCTTGCTTAAGTTCAGTAAACTATCAACATCAGAGCTTATTTGAGGAAACAGCTTCCTCTAAATTTCACTGCAAAAAAATTAAAGTAACAACTAGATATGTTTACCTAATGTGTTATATACTTTTCAAAAAAAAAATCAAAAGCGAAAGTGAGAAAAAACCTACAGAAAACTCTCACTGTGCTGTGCAGATGATAGTTTCATGGTCACGGTGGACAAAACACTGGCTATGGGCCACATGCAAATCCTGAGCCCCAAATGTACTGCTCAGCTCTCATGGGGGCCTTGACTGCCTGCCACCCCCCTCCCAAATGTGCCCTGTAGGAAGTGTAGGGAATTTTTCCCTATTAAAACTTCCCTTCCTCTTCCCAAATTAGTAGCACTGTTGCTGCTGTTGTTAATGTTCTGGCCACTAGAGGAGAAAAGGGCACTTTAGCAGTAAAAAAAAAAGTAGTTTGGGATAGAGTGACATATTCTTACAGCTGATCATTTTTTTCTGATTCCTTCACTGCTGCCCTTCCAAGCCTCTTCTGATTTATTGGCTGCAGTCTCCATTTGGACTGATGGTTGAACCGAAGTATATGAAATCTTGCACTATTTCAATTTCTTCATTGTCCACATTAAAGTTGTGTAACTCTTTGTAGTCATTATTTTTGTCTTCTTAACATTCAACTGCAGTCTTGCTTTGGCACTTTCCTCTTTCACTTTCACCAGACATCATTTCAAGTCATCATTGCTTTCTGCCAGCAAGACCGTGCCATCTGCATATCTTACATGTATATTAAACCTTTACATTTACAGCATATATATTTTAATATAGCTTATTGTTTATTTTCATTTTATTATTTTTATTCTCTGTTCTGTCAAATTGATATTTTAATTATGTTGTTAGTATGCTCGTTGTAAACTGCCCAGAGTGGCCCTTGGGGGGGAGTATAAAAATGAAGTAAGTAAATAATATTGATGTTTCTTCCATCAATTTTCACTTCTTCATCTGAATTGAGTGTAGTTTTTTGCATGACATGTCCTGCATACAGACTGAACAAACAAAATGTACCCTTGTCTGACTCCTTTGCCTATTATGAACCAGCCTGTCTCTCCATATTCTGTCTTAACTATAAGACAGGTTACTCATCAGCACAATCAAGCTCTGAGGCACACCCATTTCTTTGGGAACAACTCATAGCTTCTCATGATCTGCACAGTCAAAGGCTTTGCTGTAGTCTATAAAGCATAGACTGATCTCTTTTTTTGAAACTCTTTGGTGTGCTCCAGCAGTCAGTGGATATTTGCCATGTGGTCTCAAATGCCTCTTCCTTTTTGGAATCCAGCTTGAACATCAGTCATTTCTCACTCCACATGAGGAAACAAACTTTGTTATAACACCCTGAACATCACTTTACTTGGTTCTATAGTTACTGCAGTCCTTAGCATCTCCTGCATCACTTTACTTGCATGGGAAATAATGGTTCTATAGTTACTGCAGTCCTTAACATCTCCTTTCTTGGAGAATGGAAAGTATATTGTGGGCCACTTTTTTGTTTTCCATATTTGTTGGCCTATTCTTGTTAGAATTTTAACAGTCTTTGTAGCTTGAAATAGTTCTATCAGTATTCCCTCTATTGCTGGTGATGTATTTCTTCCCAGTGTTTTCATCCACTGTATGATGAGGATTTCACTTCACATTCTAGATTTGGTTCTTCATCATAGGATTGCTCTTCAAAGGAGTCACTCATCCTTCTGTCTCTTCTGCATAGGTTTTCAATATACTGTTTCTACCTTTTCTTTATTTTATAGAGTTCTCACATTGGCAAGAACTATGTTATGAGCAATTTGTTGTGTTTAGTCATTAAGTTGTGGCCAACTCTTCGTGACCCCATGGACCAGAGCATTCCAGGCCCTCCTGTCTTCCACTGCCTCCCAGAGTTTGGTCAAATTCATGTTGGTAGCTTCGATGACAAACCTGCCCATTTTTTGCACAATTTTTTTGCAATTGTTGAACCTACAAATCTCCCAGTGCTAGAATATGAAGAAAGGGAAGGGTAGTTTGCATCTTGCTGAATCATCAGCTTTTGTAGTTGTTTTGTGCATGTATGTTTGCTTTGTTTCTCAAAAAGAAATAGCAGTACAGATGTTCTGCAAAAATCACAGAACCTTTACAGGGGGAAAGGTCTTTGTCTTTTTCTCTGCTGGAGGTGAGGCATCTCCCAGGGCTTTAAAATTCCTCACTAAGGAGACTTGTTATGAGAGAGACTAAACTGAGGAGAATGAGAGATTTAATGACTATTCTTTCCATCCAGACTCCTAAGGAATTTTGTCTTCTAGTGACAGGCTATGTATAATATATAGTTGAGCCCCCCCAAAATGTTCTGTTCTCTGTCTCTAGTTCTCTTTTCAGATGAGGCCCTTACATGGAGTATGTATAGTGCAAATGTCTAATTTCTGCAAAATCTTCCCCTATAAAACATGCTGATCCTACAAAACAGATGTTGGCAACCAATGGATCCCAAGATACCCCTTCAGTGTCTTTCCAGATACCCATGAAGTGAAACATTAAACCTAGCAGGAATTCTGCCATGTTTATGCAAATATGTCCTGACAGCTGGTTGGCTACGTCAGCAAACAGCAAGCTACTGCAGTTTGCTTTCTGAAGCATTGGGCTTCACACCTGGTTTTGTTCCATGTAAATCAAGCACAGCATGTAGCTGGAGACAGGTGATAAAACATATTCACTGCTGCTCAATCTCAAAATCTAGGCAATTTTTAAAGATGGCACATAGCATATTAGCCACAGGCAGTGCCAAGAAAACAGAATTTATGACCTGTATTGAGTTTCTTCAGAACATTATGGACACTTGGAACCTATGCATTTGCCTGGCAAATGTATGAAATAAATGACTGCCCTCAAGTTATATGTATGGATCTCACATTACTCAGCTGAAATAGCTACTGATTCTTTACATAGAAATAAAATATATAATGGTTATGGTTGCTAAAGGTCCTGCAGGACCATAAATCAAGGACAGTAACATAATTTTCCTGTCACATTTCCTTAGCTTGTGCACTTAATGCAAAAAATAGGAATTAAATCCATATTAAACAAAGTTGAATATGCATCCCTGTTCATCTTGGGGTGAAGTCCACTAATTGCAGTGGAAGGTAAACTAGTTCAGACAGACATATAAATGATTTTAGCACAGGCAGATAAAATGTTATAAGGTTGTATCATTAATAATAATAACAACAACTGCTTGGCTCTCAATGGGATCCATCAGTTTAACTCATCATAATTACTCATTGTCAGAAAATTTAACCTCACTTACCATGGGAATAGATGAAATAATGACACTGACTAGCTCTCCAAAGCTTTGTCCTAAGCACACTTGGCTATGTAAAAAAGATTCAGAACAAGCCAAGGCAATATGATGAGGATTTTTGGTGACAGTGACTTATGACTGAGGCAATGCCTCCCCCTGGAATATTGGGGTGAGGAAGCCGCCCACCCCCATCCATGAACTGCCCCACTTTTTTGGAATATTTTAAGAAAACCCAACAAGTGAAAGACACATGGCCTATAAACTGATGTTTCAGGATGCATAAGCATCACACTGCTTGCTCTGAATTAATTAGTTATTTTTATTGTTTATATGCCACCTTCTTCCTAGAGATCTAAGACTGCTTACAATGCAGTTAACAGAATACTTGCAAAGCTTGTGTGGTATGGGGCAGGGAAAGCCCAGTTTGAATATTCATTTTGTACTTGGAAATCACTCATGAAGCGTGTCCACCCATATCCTGTAACTTGCCTTGTGTAGGGCCAGAACTTGGAAATTATTATTTTTTTCAAAACACAACTCCCAGAATTCTCTAGTTAGGGTGGCCTCATCTCATGAAATCTTTGAGCTACCATCCAAAACAGTAAGCTTTCTTAATTCTGGGCAGGACAAAGAAAGGCACTCTATTCCCCAAGGCTCAGCTGAGCACCTTTTGCCACCACAGTGGCTGTGAAAAAGATGGGTCCCTCTCTGAGGGAAATCATGCAGATACTGTTAAGTTTTTTACTGAGGCTTCTGGGTTTCTGATATTTTACTAAGTTAGAAATCCAGCTCTGTAGAGATGCAAAACGTTGATTCATCCTTCTAACAAAGATTGCTGAATCTTGCAACAGGAGGAGGAGGAGGAGGAGGAGGAGGAGGAGGAAAAAAGAGGCCATGGCATTTCCTGCTGACATACGTTATGCTCATAAGCGTTTAAGCTGGAGTGCTCTCCTTTGTGAGCACCCTGGTTGAATCATGCTGACAACAATGCCTATATGGCTGTTTTATTAATTACAGGACGAACAGAAAGCCTTTTGGCGAGTGTTCTTGTTTCATTGTATTTGCAAGAACAAATAGTACTTGCCATTTACAACAGCAAATCATTAGTGATCTTTAAAATCAAAATGTCTCCACATATGCTAAACTTTACTGCATCATGCATCTTAGGTCTGGATGACCAGATGAGCAGTATGTCAATGCTATTTCTATTTTTTTGTAGTAGGTTAATATTTTGCCATAAAATTAAAATTACAAAATGTATTTGCAACAGGACATTGTGCTTACAGTGGACCCTTGACTTACAGACGGCTTGACTTACAGACTTTTTGAGTTACAGACTTCTCTGGCCGCAAAATTTAGGTTTGACTTGCAGACTGAGATTTGACTTACAGACCAGAAAAAAACCAAAATGGAACAAAAACGGCCTGTTACGGGATTAATCGGTTTTCAATGCACTGTAGGTCAATGGAGACTTGACTTACAGACTTTTTGACTTGAGAACCGCCTTCCAATACGGATTAAGTTCTCAAGTCAAGACCCCACTGTATTTGCCTTCACTTTCACTGCTCTTCCCGCTGCTGTTATTTGTACATTTTCAGCCCATGGGAACAAAAATCAGATCTGGATAAAAGAGCCTGATAACCATCTTTGATCTGCAGAGCTGGAAGGGACCCTATGGATTTTCAAGTCCAGCCACTGTCAAGGAGGCACAGTGGGGGGGAGATCAAACTCCTGACCTCTGGCTCCACAGCCGGAGACCTGAATCAGTGAGCTATCTTGACTCATGTTTGAATCAAAACCTGGAGCATTGGAATGTATTAGTAATTTATTTAAAACTGTATGCGCAACCCTTTAAAAATTTGCCCAGGGTGACCTAGCATAAAACCAGAAATAAATAATGCAAAAATGAATTTAGTTATGAGCGAGCATTCACCCTTATTTTGATTCCTAGCAAATTAATTGGCAGAAATATATGTTAGCTTACTTCCAAAAGTAAATGAAATTACCTGGTTGAGAGCAGGTTACTGGAGAGTACAAGATTCAGAAAACAGAGTAGTGATTAAAACTGTGGCATTAAACTAAAGAGACCTAACTTCAAACTCTTGTTGAAAAACAAACTTCACTGCATAACTTTCAATATTTGCACTTAACTATTTCTTGGTCTAACAGAGTTGCTGTTTTTTTTTAAAAAAGGAGAAGAGGAGTATATTATCTTGAATTATTTTAAGAAAAGGTAGAATAAAATTATGTGGAATAAAATATTTCTGCCTGTCACCTCAAGTGGAATACTCTATTCTGATACATCAAAGAACTTCCAGATAAAACAATGCCTCTTTCATCGGGAAAACTATACCAACTATTGCAGTATGTGGTAGGATATATCCAGAAAGGCTGGTGAAAGGCTGAAGGCATGTGGCTCCATTATTTATTTAATTCATTGAAAATATTTGCATGCTACCTATCTTCTTAAAAGGATCCAACACAGTTACATTTCTAGGAAAAAAATGGTGTTGGATTTGATAGCAGTAGCTGAAAGCCCTAGACTGGGAGCTACTGCTACTTTTTTGACTACATTTCCTTGGACTAGACAGTGTTTTGATGCTGTGGGAAAGTAGAAGGTACAACAAGTGCTCAACATCACCAGAGAGGACGCTCCATATTAAATTACAAGATATTTACCTGCTTTCCCTGTCCCTTCTCGCTGAGGCAACTTCTCATTCAAAGAACCTAATAGTTGCAGGGGGGCAGAAAACAGGAGTAAAATCAGTTTAATAATTATGATCCAAACCAGGGTAGAGTGGAATAGTTACTTAAGCAGGGTCATTTTAACAGAGGGATTGGCAATCTGAAGTTCTCCAGATGCTGCTGGAGTGTAACTCCCAGGAGCCTTAGCTAGTACAGCCAATGGTAGTGAACGATGGGAAGAGCAAAAGAACACCATCTTGAAAGCCACAGATCTTCCTGTTTATTACAGCATATTAAAACAAAGGGGTTTTGATGGAAATATGTAGCCATGGAGGAAACCAGGCAGGTGACAAATCTTTTGTCTCAAAGCACCTATGATGCTAAGCAAATGACAGAGAGGCACCAAGGCAAAGCTTTCCATGTATAGCTTTGAGGGAGGAAAAGTTAGCTAATAGCAGCATGAATTTGACATTTTCCAACAACAATTTAACACCTGTTTGTAAACTTCCATGCCATTCCTCAAGGACTCAGTGGCTCTGGAATTTCTTTTAGTTCCCTGCATGTGGATATCTTGACCTGGGGAGCAGTAAAAATGTCCATGCTGCATCTGGTCCTCTTCAATGCACAGTTTGTGGAGGATGGGACCATTTATCTTTATGCTGTCAGGGAAGCACATTTTATTTACTCCTTAACTCTCAAGTTGTCTGGTGTTCTTACTATTGGAAATTAATGCAGTGGGGGGGCATACTCAAGAGAATCTGTGAACAATTTTAGTACCGCAGACAAAGACTGGGGCCCACATAGACAATTTTAACATTGAACAGACCTCCTCCCCCTCCCATTTTTAAACTGCTGGATCAATGTAAGTAAATACAGTATGGCCTAATTAATTTGAACAATCCCGTCTGGGGAATGGAAGAAACATTAACATAATCAGATACTCTGATGTCCAGGAATGCTGATTCCACAGGGTCAACACATATGTGAACCCATGTGGAACACACATAGTCAGATAAAGATCAAATAATCAACATGAGGGATTTTGGTCAATCTGCACTCAGTAGGGTGTTAAATGAGGGCCAGAAAGAGATGGTTTTGAATCTCCAGTCAGTAATGGAGTTCACTTGACAGCCAAGTTAATACAGACAAGTGAATCTAGTAAGAATTCAGCAGGACCTCACACAGTGTAGTTCAGCAAAAGGTCATTTTTAGTGGCATAAAACAATGATAACAACCAAAGTTGTTTTTTTTTTTAAAAAAGTGTGAGGATGCTTCCAAATGAGGCTTTCATTCTGCAACCGCCACTCCTCAAATGCTGAATGTTCACAGGATTCAGACATTAATGTCTACCATGTATAGCTCTTCCATATTTTTTACCGCTTCTCTAGTTTTTCTTTTCATTATCAGAAAACCATTCAGTTAAGGGGGAGGGACAGAATAGGTGCTCAGTGCCTTTTTGACAGGAACCATCTGTCAAAAAGCACTCTGGGTTAATTCACCCACCCACATAATAATACGTCTCTTCAATTCCCACACTGTGCTCCTCTGAAGTACACCCATCCCCAGAGTGTCCGCAACAGAATGAACAGTAAACCACTTCTGAGTACCCTCTACCTAGAAAGTCCTAGAAAGGGGTCACCACAAGTCACAATTGACTTGATTGCATGCATTGATGATAATGATTAGGGCACTTGCTTAGGAAGAGCACACGAGGCTTTAAATAATTTTTGCCCCAAATCAGAATTATACACTAGCCACAATTCTGTTGCTTAATGAAGTAAATGACACTAGAGTTGGCCACTGAGTCAATGGGAACTTGGTGAGTCAACTTGTCCATCCATTCCACTGATTTAAATGGGCCTACTCTTACTGCAACTTACTTTGACATAATAAATTGCTGTTAGAATAGGCCCATTTGAATCAATGGAACTTATGGAAACATTGACTCAACACTGATTCGATGGGTTTCCTATAATATGATTCACTGCACTACAGGATTTTGGCCACTGTAGAAGTTTTGAGCCACAGGTGCCTTCCCCTCACTCACCCTGGCCAATGACCCACTCAATCCATTCCACTGATTTAAATGGGCCTACTCTTACTGCAACTTACTTTGACATAATAAATTGCTGTTAGAATAGGCCCATTTGAATCAATGGAACTTATGGAAACATTGACTCAACACTGATTCAATGGGTCTTCTATAGTATGATTCACTACACTAAACAACAGGATTTTGGCTACTGTAGAAGTTTTGAGCCACACGTGCCTTCCCCTCACTCACCCTGGCCAATGACCCACTCATCAGCTGGCGCATGCTCCTCTCCTCCTCTTCTTCAGCTGTTCGACCAGTACCCATCAGAAGCACAGGACTGCCTGTCCTGCCTCCTTGTCTGAGTGGGCAAACAGGGAGGCAGGGCAGAGAAGCCTGTGCTACTGCCAGAAACTAGTTGAACAGCTGAAAAGGAGGATGAGAGGAGCGCACTGGCTGGTGAGTGATGGATCCAGCAGTGAAGTGAGGGAAGGGAGGCAATGCTGTGCATACAAACTGGCATGAACCTCCTAACTGAAGTTCGTGCCTGTCTCTACCCACAATTCATCAGAAGCACAGGATTGCCTGTCCTGCCTCCTTGTCTGAGTGAGCAAACAGGGAGGCAGGGCAGAGAAGCCTGTGCTCCTGCCAGAGTCTAGTTGAACAGCTGAAAAGGAGGATGAGAGGAGCGCACTGGCTGGTGAGTGATGGATCCAGCAGTGAACTGAGGGAAGGGAGAAAGCACTCTGGGATGAACAAACTGGCATCAACCTCCTAACTGAAGTTCGTGCCTGTCTCTACCCACAATTGATGTTCTGCTGCTCCTCAAAAGAACATCTGCAAAGCAAGTGTTCACAATCATGCTTAAGAACTGCTGCAGCACTAAAGTGGAAGCATTTCTTTCTTTTCACTTTTGAGGAAACCAGAAAGGTAGGAAACGGTCATAAAAATGCAACCTGATTATCTAGCAGTATACCCTACTGTGCAGAATATTTGTGTGACTGTGTCTTCTCCATTACTTTTAAAATTCGAGGGTACCAAAAAAAAATGGCACTCAGAAGATTTTAAATTTATAAATAATTTCCAATAAAAGAGATGCGTGTTTTGTACCATCACGTTGGACCTATAGAATTATAACAACCCTAGCAGGATTTTCAAGGTAAGTATGATATTTAAGGAGTGCTTTTACCAGTTCCACTTCCCCAGTCAATTTCTATAGATGAAGGAGGATTCAAACTCTGTTCTCCAGAGTCCTAGTCCATCACTCTATCCACTACAACATGGATCCAGTAATGAAAGGTAGGAACCACTTTTATGAACAGCACTGTTAGCAGAAATTCTGGAATTAATTATTGACTGACATCCTTTCAAACAAATCAGCTTTCAAACATAATTCTGCTACCAAACATGTGTGAATGCATATGCGTTCATTGTAATCATCCCCAGTCAATTTCTATGGATGAAGGAGGATTCAAACTCTGTTCTCCAGAGTCCTAGTCCATCACTCTATCCACTACAACATGGATCCAGTAATGAAAGGTAGGAACCACTTTTATGAACAGCACTGTTAGCAGAAATTCTGGAATTAATTATTGACTGACATCCTTTCAAACAAATCAGCTTTCAAACATAATTCTGCTACCAAACATGTGTGAATGCATATGCGTTCATTGTAATCATACAAGAGGCAAAAGACTGTAGTCTATGGACATTTGAACTTAGCATTGAAGATCTATAAAATTAGACTCTTATAATAGGAAATTGGTTTATTCTCTGAATTTTTGTTGGCTATTGTGCTGGAATTTGAGGTTAATCCAACTTCAGAATCCATAATTTCACTCAAATGATGGGAAACCAAACTGCAGAGACTCCAAAGAGGAAGAAGGATCATCCAACCCACTATGAGGCTTAACAGGCAACATTAGGAGAGAATTATTAGGGATTTCAATTCCACTCAAAGGCCAAATTGATGAGTTCAGCAAATTTCCTCTGTGGTGTCATGTTTAGGGATATGTATGTGTGTGTTTAGTTCCAAATGAAATAATGTATTTTTATCACCAGATTACACCAGTTCAATATAGCAGGATCAACTCAAAAGCTAAAACTCTTCTCAAGTCTTCACATATTTTACCTGGACAACGTGGAGTTTTATGTGCCACAGCTGTACCACTGATTGGACGACCATTCGGAGTGACACACCAACAATAGCCTGTATAACTGTGGCACTGAACCTGTCAGAAAACATCAAGTATATAAAACTGAGAAAATGTATTTTAATATATCAGGTATTCTGAAATAATGCACAGCTCTCAGTCACAATCTACTATCAAGAAATGTTTCCACATTGCAGCATTATTTATATGAAGTAATAATCCCTGAGTCTTTGTGGAGGTACAATCTCATTGCCTATGAGGCTCTAAATATGGCATTCCCCCCCCCAAAAAAAAATTAGGCCTCCCAGGAAGCATTGAGGCAGTTGAGACAGCTTGGAAGAGACAGACTGTCCCAGGTAGGTGTTTGTCTGTGAGCAGGAACTCCCAGAATTCTGCTGGGGAATTCTTGAAGAATTCTGGGGGTTTGGATTTTTTTTAAAAAAGCTCTGTGCTCTGGAGTTCTGACTCCTGTTCTCTGAAGATGCCGGCCACAGAGACTGGCAAAACATTAGGAAGAAAAACCTTATGAACACAAGGAAACAGCCCGGAAAATCCACAACAACCGTCGGATCCCAGCTGTAAAAGCCTTCTAGAATACGAAAAAAGAATGGCACCTCCCTATGTGAAAGACTAAATCAGGCTATCTATGAAAATGAATGCTATCACTGTGAGGATGAAAGAGGCAGTAACTGAAGCTCATTCACACTTCCAAATATTATGGAAAAGTTTTAATTGTAATTCATGTGCAAAGTGTATGCATATATGCACAGCTCAACATTATACTTTGCTACTTGAATTTCTGTAAAAAAGAGAGAGAGAGAGAGGAAATAGTTAAGGATCTGAGGAAGTTATACTCATTACTTTGTTCCCAATCACTAGAAATACTTGAAGATACATATATTCTTAACCTTGTTGGCAACAGTCAAACTGTAATGCCAAACCCACATTTCACAGAGCTCACTATCCTTAACTAGAAATTAATCCCCAAGTCTCCCAGGTTTAAAAATGGCATACATTTATTTTAGTGGCTTTGAACTATTGAAATTAAAATGTAATGTTTCAACCAGCTATAGTTACTTTGCATTAGAAGAAGACACTAAACTAGGTAACCAGTTATGACAAAACATCTGGATTGACAGACATGGTAGATAAAGGATGTTCAGCCAACCTGGCTGTAAGTGCCATCATCATTGCATTCTGGAATAAAAACTTGCTGGAACTCCTTGCGCGCTTGTTCCTGAGTGTACTTCCTCTCTGCCACACATCTTGAAACATCTAAACAAAGGAAGAAAAAGAATATAACAGGAGGTAAAGTCTTAAAGCCTGATCAAATTAGAATACCATAGAAATCCAACTCTTTGCCATCTACACTGATTTCCACTCTGTTTTGAGGCCCGATTCAAAATACCAGCATTTGTCTTTGTGATTTGGGAACAGTTTACCTCAAGAATCACCTTCTCTCATACATATCTAAAATGATAAAGTCATCTTTTGAGATTTTTAAAAAATTCCTCTGCTGTGTAAAGCAAAGCTGATGACTCTTAGAAAGAGAATCTTTTCAGTGCTGGCACCACAGTAGTGGGAACGCCTTCCTCTAGCACACTGGTTCTTAACCTTGGGTTACTCAGGAGTTTTAGACTGCAACTCCCAGAAGCCTTCACCACCAACTGTGCTGGCTGGCGTTTCTGGGAGTTGCAGTTCAAAAACATCCGAGTAACAAAGGTTAAGAACCACTGCTCTAGCACATAGATTGCTGTCTTTTTAGCATGGTGTTGGGGGTCTTTTCATGTACCCAGACTTTTCAATCTTACCAAATCATAGAATCATAAAACTGCAGATTTGCCAAGTGCTCTAAATTTCATTGAGTCAAGTCTCCTGCCAATGCATTAAATCCACACCTGAAATGTCCATGACAGATGGCGATTCTGCCTCTATTTGAAACAACCCAGTGAAGGGACTCTACCATTTTCTGACGTAGAATAATATATTGCTAAAGAAGCTGTCATCATCAGGACATTTTCCCTAATGTTTATCCACAATTTCCTTTTCTCTAATTGGAGTCCACTGGTTTGGGTCCCACTCAATAAAACCATGAAAAACAACCTTGTTACACCTTTTTTTTATGATAAATGTGTTATCTGAAACCACAACCACAACACACAGTTGAGTTTAAATTGCGCCTTGACATCCTTAACCATGAGTTTTCCCAGTCTACTGAGAATGGTTGTTTCAGTTTCAATACACAGAGAAAACACTGTCTTGTTTCTTTCTTTAGTTGAGGAAGTGTTTGTTCTCACTACAGCTGTGCTGTTCATCTATAACTACTACACTATACTGGCTCTCCAGTTAAGATTCTGTGTGGTCCACTTACATGCTTTAGATTTATAAGACAAGGAAAATGCAGGCATGGCAAGGAGAGGTAAGAGTAAGTGGGTAACTAGCCTAAGGCCACACTGTGAGATTCATGGCACAGCCAGGATTTGAAGCCGTTTCTAGTTCTAGTCTGATACTCTAGCCAGTATATGTCAGATATTTCCATTCAAATATTTATGGGCTGTTTGGACATATACAACTTTTCAAAAGTAAATATAGGTCAAATACATGTTCATTGTATTACTTTCCATTAAACTACAGCGAGCACATACTAGAGAAGTTTCCATTCAAAATTTTCAAAATCTGCAACTGCTAAAGCTACAGTAGAGAACATGCCCAGCTAGTCTGCACAATGGCTATGTATCTGCCAGTCTGTCAGGGTGTGATTGGCATTAGTCTGAAGAAAGGAGTGGGCTGTGCGTGTATAGCAGATACAAGTCTCCAGGTACAGCTGTCTCCACTGGAAAATGGGGCCTGGTAGGCCACTTTCTGCTTCCTTCTGAAAAGACCCTTACATACATACATTTGAATATGAGTAGATCTTGTTTAGACTTACATTATCTGCACACTGCCTAGGACATGCAGAAGCATCTAGTAAAGCTGGTAAGCCAGTTACTTTCTTCAAAATCCCCTCATGTGCCCCATGAGCACCAATTGATTGAACAGGGCCCTATGTTTCAAATAACGTGTAGTTCCAATCATATGGGACTTTTAATACTTGTTTTTGATAAATCACTGCATTCATGTATGCCTGAAACTTGACATGTCTTCAGGGACTCTGATGAAAGGGCATTTTAAAGATGAATGTTTATCAGTAGGCATTTTTGTGGTCCAAAAAGCCGAACTTCTTACTTGCATTAGAGATATATTTTGATTTCTCAAGGGGGGAAAACCTCTTTCACATCTGATGAAGTGGGCTCTAGTCCATATGCTGCAGTAAATCTTCAAATTGCCATAAGACTTGTCTTTGTTTTTAGTTACACAAGTCAGTTTCTTAAATTCACACAAAATGGCCTAGCTCTAAACAAGCCATGCTGTGGTAGTTCACTGCCAATATTTTCAAAAATTAAAATAAAATACTACAATATAACCCAGCTTTCATACCACATGCTTAACATGAGCATATAGATTTGCTAACGTATTACTCACTGACATGTGGTTTTAATGTAAGGGGAGCTTTAACTGAAAATAAATCTCTCCTTTGGTGGACTTCTGTCTTCATTTTTGGTGTACCATGTGGTTTAAATGTCAAAGGGAAAAGTGATCTAAATTCCAGCAAATGAGGATTGCAGCCATCCACACTTGCCTGAGATTCCTTTGAGATGGCTCAGACCTACATCCAACCAACTATGTAGGGAATTGCATCCAAGATCTTTAATGCAATGCTGATAGAATGATAAATCAGTTCTTATATAGGAAGTATCTTTGGAAGATGCCAAAGAGATGAATTCCAATCTGCTCTTTTTTTTTCCTTTGACTTAGGTTTTTCCTCTTTGCAGTATATCCAATATTCAGAATATTTCTAGAAAGCTGTATATGGTAGAACAGGACTCCACCAGCCTAAGGGCTTGTGGTTGTGGAATTATTCAAAGATAGGAAAATGCTTAATGTTATAGAACTGAGATTTATTATTATTTTTGTATCCTAAGGCAAAGGTTATCAAAAGGCTGATGTGATTGCTTAGGGACAGGGCTTTCAAATCCAGATGCTTATTACGAGGGCTGTTCCTTTGTTTAAAATGTTTCTAAACCATGCTTCATGCAATGTTGTATGTTGTCTTGCATATCTCACATCCATGGAATGAAAACCCAAATGAGACCTCCCAAAATGGAGGCATGCTATTAAAAAATATACTAATCTACATTACTAATAAATGGCTGAAATCCAGTAATAAGTCACAACTACAGTAGATGCCTCGAATCAATGGCTATTTGGTATTTATCAGTACTAAGAGACATGGCTACTCCAACAACAATCTGCAGAGGAAGAGTTAAGGGAGGTCATCTTTCACCATTCCTGTTTGGCTTTGATACTGAACTTTTAGTAGAATCCATATGAACAAATCTAGACATTGAAAGAGTTAACAATATATGACAAAACTCATATAAGGTATACATTTGTTCACAGTCGTCTTCTTTTCCTTTCTAATCCAAACAGGCCATCTTTGCTTTAAAATATGTCATTGAGTTATTTCCTTCCCAGGATTAAAAATCAGTTATTTCATGTCAAAATTCCTGTGGATAGATATTCCATTCTCATGACAAAATTCAATTCAAAGTATTTCTGGAGCATACTTCTTGTCTGAAATATCGATAAATAGTTTAGGGACATAAATAACTACAGTATCTATAAAAGCTGTAAAGTATTAAATAATTTGGTCAAAACTAAAATGGATTCATGGAGTGCTGTCAGGCTCTCAATTTTAAGACAGAATCCCAGGATTAAAAATCAGTTATTTTATGTCAAAATTCCTGTGGATAGATATTCCATTCTCATGACAAAATTCAATTCAAAGTATTTCTGGAGCATACTTCTTGTCTGAAATATCGATAAATAGTTTAGGGACATAAATAACTACAGTATCTATAAAAGCTGTAAAGTATTAAATAATTTGGTCAAAACTAAAATGGATTCATGGAGTGCTGTCAAGCTCTCAATTTTATGACAGAATTGACACAGTCAAAATACTTATCCTGCCAGAATTTATTATTTTATTCCAAACAATACCTACCCAACAGGTTAATTCATATCTCCCCAATACTAAATTCTCTAACTTTTGCAAACTGCAGAGCTGAGGATTAGACTCCTCAACATCTGGAAGATGATAGCAGTCCCCTATCTGAAAATGTTTTTCCAAGCTTTTAGTTAAAACAACTAGTGCAGATAATAAGAGATGACACCTCAAATATTGGACAGTTTATTTGTTCTGTCTCCCTTGGCTTATTCCTGAACCATCTGCAAATTTATTCACAGGGGAGAATTAATCATCACAAGAGCTAGAAATCATATGGTATCTTTAGAAAGTGAAATCTCTTTGATGCAGACCTCTGGTCCTGCCCCTGCTGATTTCGTGGGGGAAGTGATAGAAATGTAAACATGGGAAATAATAATTACAGTCACCTAATGATAACCTCCAATATGCAGATGATACCACTCTGATGGCAGAAAGTGAGAAGGAATTAAAGAACCTTGTAATGAGGGTGAAAGAGGAGAGTGGAAAAAATGGCCTGAAACTCAACATCAAAAAAACGAAGATCATGGCCACTGGTCCCATCACCTCCTGGCAAATAGAAGGGGAAGATATGGAGGCAGTGACAGATTTTATTTTCTTGGGCTCCATGATCACTGCAGATGGAGACAGCAGCCACGAAAATAAAAGATGCCTGCTTCTTGGGAGGAAAGCGATGACAAACCTTGATAGCATCTTAAAAAGCAGAGACATCACCTTGCCAACAAAAGTCCGAATAGTCAAAGCTATGGTTTTTCCTGTCGTGATGTATGGAAGTGAGAGATGGACCATAAAGAAAGCTGACGGCCGAAGAATTGATGCCTTTGAATTGTGGTGCTGGAGGAGGCTCTTGAGAGTCCCCTGGACTGCAAGGAGAACAAACCTATCAATTCTAAAGGAAATCAACCCTGAGTGCTCCCTGGAAGGACAGATCCTGAAGCTGAGGCTCCAGTACTTTGGCCATCTCATGAGAAGAAAAGACTCCTTGGAAAAGACCTTGATGTTGGGAAAGTGTGAAGGCAAGAGGAAAAGGGGACGACAGAGGATGAGATGGCTGGACAGTGTCATTGAAGCAACCAACATGAATTTGACACAACTCCAGGAGGCAGTGGAAGAATGGAGGGCCTGGCGTGCTCTGGTCCATGGGGTCACGAAGAGTCGGACATGACTAAAC